TCTTTGATGAACCCAGGGATGGCCTTCAGCCCTGTCTGCTTGCCCTCTCTCATTGTCCCTGTCCTAGATACCTGTAATACTGTCCTCCTGAACTTTCTCCTACTCTCAGGACATCTGTTTTCAGTTCTCTTCAAAGGCTCCTTTCCACTGTCCATTCCTCTAATGTTGGCTGGGTCCTAGGTCCTCTTTTATGCTTTATCTACCCACCAAACCTGGTAATCTCACTCTTTCCTTTTTTCTTCCATTTTTATGCTGGTGACTCTCAAATCATTACTTCCTGTCTAAACCTTCAAACTTATTTATTCAACTGCCTCCTAGATATAACCTTTAGATGATGCACAGAAGCCTAAAATATAACAGAGCCAAAATTCTCTTTCTGTTTTTCATGCTCGGCAACCCTTGCTCAAACCTGTTCTTTCTCCTGCATTCTTAATCTTATTTGCTATCATCATCATCTAACCAGTCGCCCAAACTAAAAAATGTAGAAATCTTTTTATATATTAAAAAGCACATATAAACATATTTATTTACATAAATACACATTTATATATAAATTTTTATTATAGGAAATTTCAGACATATATAAAAGTAAAGAGAACAGATGTTCTCAACATCTAACTTTATTATGAATACATGGTCAATCTTATTTCATCAATGGTCCTCACTTCTTCCCCTTCCCCAAGTCTTTTAATAGACTGCCTAGGCATCATATCACTTCATCAGTAAAGAGTTAATACGTATTTCTAAAACATAGGTCTTGGAAGTCTCTGACTGCTCTCCTTCTTCCTGCCTGCTAACATCAATTGGTGACAATTTATCTTGAAGGCTGCCAGCAGACTTCAAGATCAAGTCCAGGCTCCTTACCATGGCACACGTGCTGCTGGCACTACTGCCCTCAGGCCTTTCTCTGCGCTCGCCCCTGTGCTCCAGCTGTATCACATGACTGGCCCGTTCCCTGAAAAGTCCATCGACTCTGCATATGATGCCCTGCTGCTTGGACGTCCCTTTTTCACCTCTTCTCCTACCTAGCTTATGTGGTGGCAGGAGGCACCTCTCCTCTAATGCTTATATCATCTCTGTTCCAGTGCTTATAACACTGTACTCTACCTGAGTACTCTACCAGAGTGGACTGTCTTCCCTGCCACATGTGAGCTCTTTGAGAGCAGGAATCAGGTCTTATCTCTGAATCACTAAAACTGAACACAGTGCCTGCCCTGGCTGGTGTGGCTGAGTGGATTAAGCACTGGCCTGAGAACCAAAAGGTCGCCAGTTCGATTCCCAGTCAGGGCACATGCCTGAGCTGTGGGCCAGGTCCCTGGTTGAGGATATGTGAAAGGCACCCAATCCATGTTTCTTTTGCACATCAATGTTCCTTTCCCTCTCTTTCTCCCTTCCTTCTCCTCTCTCTGAAAAAATAAATGAATAAAACCATTAAAAAAAATACAGTGCCTGCGATGAGGTAGGTTTTACGTATTTATAGAATGAATAAAGAGACATTTCAGGGAAATAAATGACAGACTAAATTGCCAGGGACAGGATAGGGGAAGACCTGGGGATTGAAAACTCCTGAGTTTCAAGTCTGGGAGCCTACGGAATGGTAATGGCACTGGGAGAAATGGAAGGAACTTGAAAAGCAAGCTGGCTTTTGAGAGGTGATAATGAAATTTAAATTTCTGTACATGTTAATGTAATGTATTGGTGGAATATCCAATAGCACACAGTGATTTAGGAATAGAAAGATGACGGAAAATATTCATGGCACAGTTGGAGGAGAGCATTAACAAGGCAGAAGGGGCTTATGGAAAGGAAATGATAGAATATTATAGAATGAAATGGGATCCAGAAGAGCCCTGTGAGTGCTTGTCTGCGTTAGCATGTGTACATACTGGCATTTTCTTATGGGTCTAATAAGGACTGGGCGGTCATGTATGCGAGAACACTAGAATTACCATATTTTACTAGAATTGAATGAGCTAATACGTTAAATGAGTTAATACTTAGAACAGTGTTTGGCACATAAAAGGCACTGAAATCTTAGTTGATGATCATTATCTCATTATTATTATTTGGCCTTTAGTAAGTTAGGGTCCTTTTCAGCTCTTACCCTCTGACCAGAAGATCCCAGGGCTTTATTTGCCCATCATCTTGTGGAAGCTATGAAAATCTCTATCCTTCTCTTTAGTAAGAGATCAGAATAAGAGATATCCATCTAGGAATCATTTGGTGAAAGGTGGCAGCTGAAGTCCTAAAACCAGGTGCGCTGTCAAGGAAGAAAATGTCCGGGGAGAATAAAGAGCCCAGAAGTCACTACTGGATGAGAGCAGTGGGATGAGCAAACAAGAAAACAAGTACCTCAGGCAGAGCTGCTGGAAGAGGCTATGGAGCAAGGTCACGCATGGTAGAGGAGGAGAGAGGCTGCTACAAAGGCCTTGTTAATAGGGTCGAAGCACCAAGAAGGCCGGGGGGATGAATGCTGAACCAGCCCCTGGATCTGACAAGGAGAAGGGGTATCGTGAGTAATGAAGTAAAGCTTCGGTAGTCAAGAGAGGAACTGATGAAAGTGAGCAATTGCTTAATTCATTTAATTCATTTGAAAAAGTTACCAGTTGAAGGGTGGCAGGGACTTTCATTTATTTCCTTATAGGTGAGCCAAGGATGTCTGAAGGCAGAAGGAGCAATCAGTGAAGAGAGGGCAAGAGTGGGTTGGAGAGGGAAAAGATGTGAAGGAGTAAAGGAACAAGGATTTCCTGCCCAGGCAGGTTAGCCACACGCTCACATTGCGAAGAAGGATAAAAGGATAAGTGCACGTGGTGATTAGGAATCTTCTATAAAGACACAGAGGCTCTCTTGCGTTTGAGACAATCTTCCCAAACCCCATTCTCCCTCCTCCTCTCTGGTGGAGAGTTTAGGCCCAGAGTCAGATCTAAAGGAACCCAGGGTCCCCAAACCCTTTCCCCCATAGCCTCCTTCCAACGGGAAGGAATAAAAACCTGTCTTGCTCTAAATCTGCAACGCCCAATATGGTAGTCACTAGTCACACGTGGCTAATTAAATTTAGTATAATAAAGTAAAATGTTAGTGCTTCGGTCACACTAGCCACATTTCAAGTGTTTAATAGCCTCATATGGCCAACAGCCACTGAACTCAGCAGCACAGGTAGAGAACACTTCCATCACTGTAGAAAGCTCTACTGGACACCACTGCTCTAGGGTCTTACTGGTGTTTCACCTCTTCTATCTTAGCCGCGCTCAGCTCCCCCCCAGCACTCAGACACTGAGTCAACCCTGGTGGCGAAAGACTACAGCTTGGCTACAGGGGAAGAGGTTTCCTGACTGTCTTAGGACTGAGTTGCTCAACACTGTATTAACTGCACATACTTCCTTCAACCTCCACACACACACAAGCTCGTGCCCTCTGTTTTGTTGACTCAGGGTTAAGTGAGTCCCAACAGAGGGGAAGACACCTTTGCTGGCCTCAGAAATTAACAGAGTCCTGCTTGCGGCCCTCCAAACTGATGAGAGGCTCCACTAGCAAAACTTCCATGGTCTCTACCTCTCTTGGCTCCATCCTCTCTCTCCACTATCCCACCTCCCGGTCTCCTCTGCCTAGGACGATTTGTTCTTTCCTGGGCTTCCTAGCAACAAACAGGCGGCTGCCAGATGCCTCTATAACTATGGAAGTTTGTCTGACATTCTGGGATGACACCCCTGGTTTGTGGGAAGCAGAGAATGAAAGCTGGAAAAGACTCTAACCCTCCTCTCAGTCCGCCTCTCATTTGACAGATGTGACTTTGGGTTACTTTGTTACCTAAATGACAGGAAGCAGTCATGGGGGAAGGTAAAAGTGAAAAGGCACATCTCTAAGACACACAAGTTTCCAAGACAAAGCCTGGGGGTTCTGACTGATCTGCATTCCTGGGACTGTTTCTGAACTTCTCTGCCTTGGCTGATGCTTTGTGCCCTTTCCAAGATAGCTTTTGTTTTACAAAAATTGCAGTGAACTACGCCCATGGATTTCCTTCCAGAGAGGGCAACTGGGCAAGCACTGGACATGATTAGGAAGAGAGACAATTCTTCCCAGTGACACCTCCACTTGAGGAAAGCTGCCTCTGACCCTCTTTTCCCAGCTCCCTTTTTGGGCCATTCCTCCTCTTGTAATTGCTCTGGTTTGATCACTTCTTATGAGAACTGGTAAAGTGAGGACAGTGTTCTAGTTTGGGCACAAAACATGACATGCTTCAATCTTCACAAAAAATTACCAAATAACTGTCAAATTTTCTGAAGGGAAAAGAAAGTCCCCCATGGAGCAGGAGGTAGGGAAACCTTCCCACGGGAGCTCTGGGAAAACTGCAGACAGATGAACCGCTGGCACTAATTTCCTAGTCCCATTCCCTCTTTTCTGGGAAGGTGCCCAACCTCTGTGCTCAACACAAAACCACATCTCTGACTGATAGACCTCACACAACCCCAGTGACCCTGGGGGAGATGGAGGCAGGGTCAGATAGACAACTACATAGTCTAGGGAGACATCCACGTTCTCCTCTGTCCCACCCCCAACAGACCCCATGTGACTCTCTCTGTATTAGACAAGGTTGAGAATCGAAGGAAGAAATTTCCAACTCTCACTTCATCCAAAGGCCACTGGGATGAAGAGAATTGTCTGGCAAGTTCTCAGCATGGAATTCAAAGGAATATTGTTCAACATCATCTCCCCAAATCCTAACCCCACTGCCCCCACCAGCCTTTCTAGCCTTTCTAGTCAGTTTTTCAGCAGCTCCTTTCTACTACTAGTAACTTGGGAGAAAGGTCTTGTTTAGGCAGCCAGGGGGCCAGCCAACTCAGAAGCAGCAACATGTCCTAAAATGGTCATAGAAAACTCCACAGATTTGGCTGAAGCTCAACTCCTAAAGGAGCTGGGTAGAACCCAGGGAGGATGAGTTCCCCATTACCCCGCCCGAAATCTCAAGCCCACGATTAACCCCCTTTCTGCAGACTACTTACCATTCCACAGCACTTCCAGCGAGTGCGGGGACAGCGGGATAGCCTTGTTCTCTTTTAACATGGGGCTGACGTAGGAAGCTAAGTAAGGGACAGATGTCCAGATCTGTTAAAGGAAAGAGGGGTGTGATGGATGAATCAACAAGACTGAAATCTCTCTCATCAACTTCTTCTTTAGGCCCGGTTCTCTTTATTTTTCTTCTCATCACTTTCTTTCATTCTTGAGGCTCCTGCTGACATCATGGAGTGTTCCCTATGGCACCAAATCAAAGAGCCAGAGGAAATGGCTGTGCCCAGGGTGGCAGATGAAAACCAGAGCACCCTGAGAGTTCCAAGGTATACTCAGGTCTCATTTACTCCCTACAAATGGTTTGGAAACTTCAGTTAAAGTTAAAATGGGTATCAGCTGAGATGAGGGTAAATGAATGAGTGAATTACCCTCTTGAAAACGAATGAATTAATTAGCACTTACAACATGCCAAGCAATGGTTTAGGCGTTTGGCCCCCTCCCGTGGTCACGCCACGCAGGCTGTCTGCCCTGCAAACACCTGTTCACCTTGGCTGCATTAACGAGTCTCCAAGCATTGAGCAAGCCGAATCCATGCTGGTGGCTGTGGCTGAAGCCTGCCTCATTGGTGACCCAATCTGCGCGGCGATCCTCATACTGAGAGGACAGAGGTCCTGATTAGTCTCTTGGATTTCCAAAGTGATCTCTGCAACCTATCTCTGGCTTTCCTGCTCACCCTGCTGGCTGAGCCAATCTGGACTCTCCTACTAAGGCCACTGGGAACGGATTCCCCAAGGACAAAAGGTCAAAGCCCCAGGATGTCACCACCCCTATGGCCTACATCTAAAGAGGCGCCCAGGAGTCACAGGCTCCCAAGAGGAAGCCCAGCCACAGCTCTCCTTTGCAGGTAAAATGCCATAATCAGAATAGGTATAAACGAGTTTAGGCCTCTGGTCTTGATGGGGTCCCCACCCTTGCTCTACACACATGCAACTCTGAATGAGATTTGGCATCTAACGTCGGGAACATTTAGAATCTGAAGCCTCCTGATACCTGTCTTTAGAACCAGAACTCTGGGGTTGGCTGGGCCAGGTCACATGTCTACCTGATAGCATCTCACCTGGGTGGCTGTGAAGACAATAATGTGCTGGACATCACGCCACGTGAGGCAGGGCCGCACCTGCAGCATGAGGGCTATCATGCCAGCTGCCAGAGGGGCTGCGGCTGAGGTCCCTGTGTGGCCCTCAGTGCAGCCAGTGCCCTTCTGCAGATCCCAGTCAGTGGTCACCTGGGAAGTGAAATGGAGGGGAGGGGAACTGGATTAGAGATTGCATTCACAGGTGCTGTGGAGGGTGGGGTACAGACTGGGCCTCAGAACAAGCATTTCAGGTGGGCCCTTCCCTTGTGAGAGCTGAGTCTTTGACCAGATGGAGACCGACTAGCAGGTCAGGACAAAGGAGATCCCTAGTCCTTCTGGGCCTCACAAGAGAATCCTTGGAGAGCTGAGAAAGGAGAATACAAATTGAAGAGTTGTTTATGGGGGTCTGGCTGTGTGTGAAAGGAGGTGGAGGCATGGGAAAGGCCTACGTGCAGACGGCAGTATCCTGACTCCTATGCTCCAATGATCCATTCCCAGATTCTCCATCCCAACACCCCACTCCCAACCATCCAGACCCCACAACCATGCTAGGCATGGAGGAAGTGGTCAAGAAGCTCCTGGGCCCCAGCTGGACCTGGGACAACAGTGACTGCACCATTCAACAAAATACAATTTGGCAGCTCGGTGATAAGGAGATGCAATGACCTCAGTGTGAACAAAGGGCGTGTGTTCCCAGGCAGAGGGGACTGTCCCCTTGCCTACCCCACGGGCTTGGTGTAGGGTCAGTGTCTACACTGCCTGCCTGCCCTGGCCTTGGCAACCGACGAGATGAGCTGCATCACTGCTCTGGACCCAGAGTCTCAGTATGGTTTCCATGAGTCCCCGACTCTCTACCTGCAGTTCCGAACAGGAGGCGAGACTGGGAGTGGGGAGGAGAAGAGTTGCCTGAGGGGGACAGATGGCATATGTCCCTCATCAAGTTCTTTTTATGCTGTAAACAACCCTGCAGCCACAATGGCTTTAGCCAAGGAGGGCCCCCCCCAAACCTGCTACACTATGTGCCACTTTGGCTCTAGCGCATGATGCCAATGTTAAGATCAAAGAAATTTTTTTCTTTTTTTAACTTTATATTTATTGCTGACACTGTTGCAGATGTCCCCAATCCCCTCCCCCTTTCATCCCCCCTTTTCTCAGTCCCTGCCCCCGCTTCCCTCTGGCCATCACCACATTGTTGTCTATATCCTTGGGTCATGCACACATGTTCTTTGACTAATCCCTTCTCCTCCTTTCATCCAGTCCCTCCCTCCCCCTCCCCTCTGACAGCTGTCAGTCTGTTCCATGTGTGCATGCCTCTGTTTCTATTTTGTTCTTCAGTTTATTTTGTTCATTAGATCCCACATATAAGTGAGATCACATGGTATTTTTCTTTCTCTGACTGGCTCATTTGACTTAGCATAATAAACTCCAGGTCCATCCCTGCTGTCGCAAAAGGTAAGAATTCCTTCTTCTTTAAGGCCAAGTAGTGTTTCACAGCTTTCTTTTTATCCACTCATCTACTCATGAGCACTTGGGCTGCAGCCGAATGTTGGCTGTTGTAACTAATGCTGCTATGAACAGAGGGACGCATATATTCTTTCTGATTAGCATCTCTGGATTATGAAGATACATTTCCTGAAGTGGGATCACTGGGTCAAAAGGTAGTTCTATTTTTAATTTTTCCAACCTTCTCTTCTGGGTCAGCTATCAGAGTCCTAATGTCTGCCCAAAGCTGCCCTTCCCCCCCTGTGCTTACTGCCTCCCTCTCCACTGTGACAGTGGCTGCCAGGAGCAGTAGTTCTCACTCAGATGCCATGCGCTTCCATAAGGAAATGAGAAAACTCTCCTAAGCTGTCATCTCAATGGGAGTGAGAGGCCTGGTCTGTGCCAGGGAGCAGACTGATTGTTTCCTGTTAAGGAAACAGTCTCACAGTGAGAATCTAGTGTGTAGCTGTAGCTGGGAGGCCTGAGAACTTGCTTGTGGTGGCAGGAACCCCAGGCAGCCAGAGGGAAGTCCAGGGAAGTGCTGCTGGCAGCCAAATGGGCGGCAGCATGTGCCTGCACACCCTGCCCTTAGGAAGACTGCTTCACCAAGCTGGTCACTGACCAGAGACTGGCAACAGGAGCTTTCCAAGGCAAGGACATCCCAAAGATGGAAACTTGGCGGAACAAAACTCTCTTTTCATTTCTGGACAAGTTACAGTTCTGATGGAAGGTGGGGGTGGGGATAAGCAGTGGAATGGAGTTAGGAGGACAAAAACCAGACCCCTCAGGGCAAGACTGACAATTATGCCTGGGGAGCCCTATTGGTTCCTGGGTGGGGCCGGGATGAGGGTTCCCGAGAGTTCTGTCAGGCCATGAAGAGCACAGTATGTTCTTGCTCCTGTTTCTAGCCCAGTCTGGCCTGGGGGGCAGGGGCGGGGGGCAGAGGTGCCCTTTGCACTCAGACCCCTGCCTGCTAAGCAAAGCCTCTCTTGCTGTTTTACTTCAGTCCACTCCCTTTTCTTTTCTCCCCAGGGCAGAAGGGAGGTGGGCAGGGGTCAACTGGCCCAGAGCCTTGGAACATTGCGTTAACCAGAAGTCATTTACTGGCAAAACAAAATTTCAGTTTTGGAAAATGAATTTGGCCCAGCAGGAGACAGGGCAGTCTACTTCCCAGTGGCCCCAGAGAGATCTCCTGATGCTGGCCACTGGAGAAATCTCACACACCTGGCCCCAGCCCACCTCTTGCCTGGGCCCCCATTCCCACTTTATTCTATTATGGGCAGCAGGGATGGGCAGGGAGCTCTGGGGTGATGGCCATGAGACTTGGCTTGAAGATGCTGGGATGGAACTGAGCCAGCTGAGTGCAGGCACTAGAACCTGAATTCTTTTAAAGGTTCCCATAGTTTCAGGAGCTCCACTCCCTTGCTGTACCCAATCTTTTGTTTGCTATGGCCCCAATTCTAGCTCCAAGGTAAGAGCTCTCTTGGACTGACAGAAACATTCCCCGGACTCCTTATCCTGCCCATCCCATAAGCACAGCTGCTAGCTTTACTCCTGATAGTGACCATAAGCAGAGCTCACAGTATTTACATAAGGGCTGAATAGCAATGGAATGATGATTTCTTAAAGCCCGCAGAAATTATCAAAAGCCCAAATTCTACTAAAGAAAGACATTTCAAAGAAGTTCTTTAATCAATGTGATGCTTAGTTCCTGTAATATAGGAATTTGTAAGCAAAAATTTTAAAGATAAATCCCACTTTCACAGATTATTTAGAGTTCTCAGCCCTGTTGTTCCAGCAGGGGCACATCGTTAATACAGATCTGCTAGGGAAGCGGGACCTGAAGGACAGGCCAAGGTGGCAGGGAACAAAAAGAAGTATGGTTGTGCTGCCTGAGAGAAGTATGACTGGACAGGGGCAGGGAGTGAAGGGACAGGGAGGTACTTACAATGCTCCGGAGCATTTTGTCCCCACCACTGAAGGTGACCGCCAGCATAGAGGCACACTCCTCTGCATAGAAAGGCATCCGTCCCTCCTCATCTACTGCACCTGAGGACAGAGATGGGGAAATGGGAGCTGAGATAAAAGCCTGATCATATCAGAGCTATCTTTGAGTCATCATCTGGGTGATTGTGTGAGTTTAAAGAATTTAAGTGGCCCAAGTGCCTCAGAGTGCCCACTCTCCTCACCTGAGCAGGCCAACCCAAGTGGCAGAGAGCATTCTGTGTCCTAAATACTGCTCTCTTAAGAGGTTGGCTCCAGGGTAAAACTGGGGGCATCCCACCTCTGCACCTACTCATTCACTCATGCCTTCATTTTCCTCAGCATTATCTACTGTGAGTCACACACTGTGCAAGGCACTCAGGCCATATGGAAAAGGACAGTCCTGATCTCAAGATGCTTACAGCCAGGGAGGAAGTCAGGTAAGTAAAGAAGTATAACAGGGATAGCAAATACTGTTGTAGGGAGCACAGGTGAGGGGCAGGAGGCCTAACCAGCTGTGGGAGGTGGAGGTAGGGTGGGGTATCTCCAGAAAGGATTTCCAGGGAATGGTAACTTCTAAGGAATTCCTGAAATCCTCAGTGAGCAGGGCTAGTCCCTCCTAATTATCTGAGCCTGTAGAAAAGATCATTCTCATACACAAAGACACACAAAAGCTTGGGCACACCAAGACACCCTCCCTCCCCCGCCAAGATACTCAGTCCCTCACCAGAGTCGTGCACACACACCACAATCCAGTCCCTTCACCACTGAGTCACACGGAACCACAAGGCTACTACCTATGGTGACGGTGTAGATTGAGTTGGCGTAGCCGTCATAGTTGCAGTTGTCGTTGTGCTGGCCCCCATTGCCACTGGCGACCACAAAGATGCTCCCAAAGCCCTGGCGGCCAGCAATCACCCCATGTTGCAAGGCAGCCTGAGGAGCAAAAGCGCCCAGGAATCAGTTGAGAAACTCAAAAGAAAGACCTCTACCTTCCACACAAGTTGCCCTCCCCTCCTCTTCTAGGAAGAACAAAGCCCAAAGGCACTAGATATGGCAGGAAGGGATTTGAATGTGGACATAAGAAGGGGAGGAAGTTGTTAGTTAAGCAACTGTTGATGGATGTACTCTGCTTATAAGGAAAGGTGGGGTCAGAAATGGGAAGCCAAGCACAAAATCAAAGGAAAACCATCTCAAAGCGTTGTTCTCTCTCTCTCTCTCTCTCTCTCTCTCTCTCAGAACCTGTGACCCACCTCTACCCTGCTACCTCCATTTAGGAATGTTCTTCCCAAAAGGAGGCCACAGGGTTACATGGCATAGGCCTGGCAAATGGGGGTGGGCAGGAAAGGTACTGACTTGTAGTACTCTTCTAGGAACTGAATGAAGACGGTGTACTAAGTCTCCTACAGTGTTCACACAGTTTGCTTACCTTTCCAAGTTGATGGGGGCCATCCACTGTCTTCCCATCATCATCTGGTCCCCAGCTGTTGAGAAATACCCAGAGGGAAGAGCCAGAGCCAGGCTGTGACAGCCCTCCCAGGCCCGAAAGTCTCAACTGGCCACCCCTCTGCCTGGGCTCTTACTCTTCTTCCAAGGGTTCCAGTTCAGGATTCCCACGGAAAAAGGACAGAAGGTTCAAAGGTTCAGCTCCCACTCCAAAGTGGAAAAGAGAAGTACATGCTAAGGATCTTTCCCTTAGAAATTTCCCCAACTTAGCACTATTTTAACCTGCTCCTAAAATGCTTTCTGAGGTCCCAGGGAGCAGGAGACAGGACATAGTGGTAGTCAGGGACAGGGGGGCCACCTTCTCCGGATCTAGGGATCTATTACTAGGCATGATGGAAGAGCACCCACGATGGAAGTATTCACTCTGTGAAAACTCTTGGGTCTGGGAGTTCTCTATTCCTTCTCTAAGAGGAACGGAACTTGTGGATGCCATGGATTTCAGGGACGTACAAGTTATGGGGAAGAACAGGTTCCATCAGTGCCATGGGGGTAGCCCAATCTCAGCTTCTCTTTAATCCAATCCCCCCCGCCGCCGCCATAATCACAACCTGAGGCTGCAGGTGCGTTTATGTGTGTAGGGTAGCTGGGACTGGTGCTGAGCATTCAGCTTACCCGCTAGCTGTGAGTGGGAAGGAAAGCCCACTCTTTCCCAGAGGCCTATGAACTTATTAAGTAGCTGGCACACTCATGTGGCAACCTGATTACTGGGGTGACATGAGGCTTAAGACTGAGAACCCAGTGGCTGGGGGTCCAAGAAATGAGGGCAATGAGCTTATAGGCTGAACCCAACAGGAAGGCCCTTGCTGGAACCTGCTGGAGTCAGCTCATTTTGCTGTTCTTTGGTAGCAGAATTAGTTCCAGGTGTCCGAGCCTCTCGCCCTCTCACCTGTTCCTGGCTCTGTCTCACCTGCAACTGTAGATGTCATTGATCTGATAGTGCTTGTTGAACGCCACGGCCTCCATGCTATCTGTGAGGGGTCCATCTAGTAACCGGATACCTAGGCAGCAAAGGCCACATCAGCTCCTCAGTAATACTCGACCCCTAGATAGGGAACTGGGTGGTGGGGAGCCATATGTGGAGATTTACTTTTCCCTCTAAGCGTTTTTCTGTTTTTTGGTTTAATACCATGTGTATGCACTGTCCAGAAATATTTTTTAATATAATGCTAAATCTTGGGGTCTGGTGGGAAGAGACATAGGCTAGAATGTAGGTAGCCCGGTTTCTCTTCTTATTTGCATCCTTAATCATGTAAAACACCAGTATGGTGCTTGACACATAGATAATGCCCAATAAATGGTACTTATTACCATTAACTACTCCAATGCATGCCTAATTTCACCCTTTAAAACGGGGTGGGTCACATTCTGGTGACCATGTAGGGACAGATGGAGCTTTCAGAAGGGATTTGGACCCTGAAGGTTTCTGGCTCCCTCTGTAGCCTCATTAACAGAGAAGGTTGCTGCCCTCTGCTGGAGTGTAGGAGGAATAAAGCCAACTTATTCAGCCTGTGGGTTCCAAGCATTTACGAGGACTCACGGGGGAGAGCTTCCCCATTCATTCCTTTCACCTTCTGCCTTGACGGACAAAGACTGAGAGGTGAAGGAGCCATAGAGCAACCCCCAGTGGAGGCCAGGGCTTCTCAGATCTCTTGAAAGGATGGAGAACAGACAGTGATAATCAGAAGGGCTGGGAGCCGGAGAGCTGGGAGACAGTAGTGGAGTCTCAAGGCATGTTTGGTCAAGGAAGAAGGGCAGGTGAGGTGTTTGGTAAACTGAAAATACAAGTATACCACAGGTAAGTAAAGGAGGTATCACTGCCATGAGTTGGGTCATTGATGGGGCATAATCAAGATCAGAAAAAGAGGAGACTGAGCAGGTGGGACTTGAGGCCTCCATCCTGCATCAAGAGCATTCCCACTTTTGTCTGTTTTATATGGCAGGGTTTGCTGCTAAAAGCATGTCTAAAACACCACTGCACTGAAAAAAATATCAGTGAACCAAATTGTCCTACAGACGTTTATTATAAGCTTCCCCTTTGTTCTGTGCTGTGTGTTTTGAGGGTAGGATAAAGGCGGCACACGATTCAGGGCGTGGGGCAGGGAATGAAGAGTGCCATCATGAGAGAAACCCACTGAACCTAGACTGGAAAATACCTGCTATGCGGCTCCCGTATGCCACTCCCACTGCACAGAAGCTGTTGTTAGGCACTGCGGCAATCTCTCCCGCACACCGAGTGCCGTGGTGGTTGCCATTCTCCACATCTGGGTGGGGCATGGGGTCAGGGTCATTAGAGTTGAGGTCATAGCTGCCCTCAGGGCTCTGAAACATTGAGGGGGTGACATATGGTCACTCACTGGTTATAAGAGGTCATGTCTTAAAGCTCAGGGAGAGAGGGGAACTGGGAGTTCAGGGCTCTCAGCCAGAGTACCAGGCCCACCTCTCTCTGAAAACCACATGGGCTACAAGATATGAGGACAAGACACATCAGGGCAAAACTGAGAAGTGCTACATTTCATAGGAAACTTCTCTCTTGTCCTTTATAGGAATGTGTCCAGAAAACTGCTCCACGACTTGGGAAACCTGGGATAAAAAAGATCTAGGGCTACCTAAAGTCCAACCTTTAGAGAGGAAGGTGCTCAGAACTTTTGTGGAGAGGGAAGTTGCCTCTAGCCTCCACTCCTTACTGCCCAGGGCGGGGAGCTGTGACAGGAACCAGTTAGGAACCACCTGTGATCCTCTCCCTTGCTGAGGGTAGAGCAATTCCATTTCTTGACTGCCAGTGTGGAACACTGGCTGGGGAGGAGGAGGTGACAAACACCGCCCCCCCTCTTTTGTTTGGTCCAAAGACCTCTAAGAAAGGGGACAAGCCTGAGGCAATATCAAGAAGGAGATAAAACTGGGGGATGGGAGGGGTCATTCCAGGGCCACTCACGTAGTTCGGTGCAATATCCTGGATGGTGTGTTCCACTCCATCATCCACTACCACCACAGTCACCCCTCGCCCCGTTACATTGCGTTCCCATACACCTGTCACATTGATGTCCCTGCCGGGGCTCTGCCGGTTATTCTGCAGGAGAGACAGGGTCAGGAACGGTTTCAAAGCACTGGGACTCCAGTGACACACAGCTTAGCCCACAGGTATTCAAGTCTAGCAGCCTCTTTTCTCTTTTCACTCTTGGCTGCCATCAAAGAGCCAGATAGAGGTTGTAAACCAATATGTCTAGGTGGGGACAGAGTCAAGGAGGGACAAGTGAGAGCTTTGCCACAACCTAGTTGTCCAGGAAAGCTTGACAGCATTCATGGGCAATAAAGATGAAATGCTGGCTAGGCTTAAGGTTGGCTAATACAATTATTATGCCATATAATGTCTTTTATATTAACATTATATAATATAATGTTAGTAGTTAACACTCTAAAGTGTTTATCATGTGTTAGGCACTCATGGTAATTCATTTATCCTTACCACCTCTACATGGTAGGTAGTACCCATTTTCCAAAGAAAGAAACTGAGGCACAGAGAGGGTAAGCAGCTTGCCCAAAGGCACATGCTAGTAAGTGGCAGAGCTGGAATGGGAGGCTAGGCAGCCTGGTCCCAGCACCTGCTCCCTAACCACTGCAGCCCACCGGCTCTCTAGAAGTGAGTACAGGGAAGGTGCAGCCTGAAGAAGAAACATGCCCCTGAAGCCCACAGAAATGTCTCTTCATGCAAACTAAAAAGTAATACAGTAGAAACTTCACTAAAGAATTGGATACCCAGAACTGATCCATCTGAAGCTGAACATTACAGGGCTGGACTTACCAAGTGCCACTGCTGTGGGAACTTGGGGTCATTGAAGTGGACACTGCGTTTGGCTCGCTTTAACAGCTTCTGCTCTGAGTGCCAGCGCACAGCGTCATGCCTGGCTAGCACTGCCTCTGCCTGCTGCCGGATGGCCTCCACCTGCTGGTCCAGCTGGTGCCCAGCTGGCTGGACAAAGAGGTAATGGCCCTGAAGCTCCCCGATGCGTCCAGCATTCACCAGTCCCGCTGCCTGGGCCAAGGCATCTGCCTCTTGCTCCAGAGTCTCTTCTTCCCTGCTGCCTTCCCGGCTGTCCAGATGCACAGCCCAGCTTAGCCCCCCTGGGCCCTGGGCCACAGGCCCACCTGTCCCTGCCAGGCCCATGACCCAGGGAACGAGTAAGAAGAGCCCGGCTAATTCCAGCCAGAGGCAGGTGGACAGGCCCAGGGGGGCATCCAAGTATGGCACTTTCTGCCTCCCCTTCGGCATCAGAGCAGTAGGCTGCAGACAGAGAGAAAGGACATGAGAGATAGAAGAGCTGATAACTACAGTAATCTGAGAGGGGGAACTAAGCCATCAATGTACAACTGGAAACCCCCCAATTGGCTCCTTTTAAATTAGGAAACATGTGATCCTCTCTTCTTACTCAAGTTTATCTCTGTCCAACAGGAACAAGATTCCAGGTGGAGTGTGGGCCGGGACTCACCCCAGTGAGCACTTCATCTCACTGGATAATCAGGCAGCACATCCTGTTGCTAACAGGCACCGTACTGCTCTTTCCCACTGCTGCCATGGAAAGGGCTCAAAAGTCCTATCACTCCCACAAATTACTGGCAGAATCATCACTGTTCTTTAGAAGAGACCCTCCTCCCTTATTTAGAGGGGACAAAAATCTTTCCCCAGCTGACGTCCCAGTCCAGTTGTCTTCAGGGCTAACTCTCCCCAGTGGGGCCCCATTCCCACCTGGACTGTATGTGAGGTTGAGCTCCTGGTCTGGCTAACCACCTCACGCTCATTTTGTGCAAATGGAGAAAAGGCATCACTTTCACTACGAGTTGTGTTGACTCTGAGCACAGATTGCAGACCTGTGGACCCCAAGAAAAGAAGAAACGGTGTCCTCCCAAACCTAGTGGAGCAAACAGAGGCTTGCCATGAACCCCGGGATCTGTAACCAAAGAAACTGGCCAATCATCCAGTATCATTTCCAGGGATCTCAGATAGGTAATAGACTGGGAAAGAACTGGTACAATAAGGCCAAATTAATTAAAAAAAAAAAAAAAAACACCCCAGAAACTCTATTTCTTGTCCTAACCATCATACAACCCTCTTTTCTTTTCCCTACAGAGGCCTAAAAGAGGGCTTGGGCTATTACTAAAACCCCTTCTTGAAAAAGTAGGTAGTAACGTTTCCTATAGGTCCAGGTGGTAGCTAACTTCCTGATCTCTGTATCTGAAAGATGCCAGGGAAAGTAAGAGCAGGCAGAAGGCAGGGGAAACGGGGAAAATCTGGGAATGCAAATGACACTGAACAGGCATAAAGGACAAGTGGGTAACTGGGAGAGAAGAAAAGACTGGAAAGCAGTTCTAAAGGGCTACTTTTAGTCACTAACCCAGAAGGTTGGCTTGGAAGTGAGGGCTCAGACTTCAAACCTGGGAATGCCACTCATAGTTTGATAAAAGGGCCAAATTAGAACTAACTGGTGGGCAACCACGAGGCCAAAAACAAGTGAATGGGTGGCAGAACTTCTTCGTACCTATTGGTGGCTGAGCTCCTTTAGAACCATCTGCTCTCTACTGGTATTGCTTAGTACTCACACATACCCAAATGGATCTGACTCAAAACATTACAGAAAAAAATGGGTGTTTTACTGAAGTCTCTTTGGAAAGGGAGAAGGGAATTTATACCATCTAACATTTCCCTCCAGCGTTCTGCATTCCACAACTCCTCTCTTTTCCTTTTAGGTTTCCAGGCACATTCTCTCTCAAAGTCCTCACTGACCTACTGCTGCAGCCTTGATTGTCTCAAGATATTCAGATGACTTTGCCTGTGTTCACACCTTACTAAGTAAAACGCAATCTTGTTTATTAGTAAGATAGTGATCCTTGTAGGCAGTCTCCTTCAATCTCAGGAGAATCCGTAGATGTCCCGAAGAGAAGACAAATCTGACCACCACTTCCTCCTTGCCCTCTGGCACAGCAGTTCTTTACCCCACTCACCCTCCCCTGGCTTCCGGGTAAAGAACCTTAAATACTTCTGGAAGCAGATCTGAACCTCCTTCAACTGTTGGGCATATCTTTACAGCTCTTAGGTGCCAAGGGAGAATAGGAGTAATTTGGGAAGCCCAGAGTCCAAGATTCTGCTCCTAGAGACTGTCCTCGCATCGTCTACACCCTACTTCACAAACCAGGTTGCGTACAGGGGTCAGTTGCATCGATCCCCCACCCCACCCCCCCCCCGCCGGCCTCGACTGCCCCTTCCAGTGTACGCCTCCTCAGAGGGACCTAGGTTTTCCTGGAATCCCTGACTCCGGTGCCCCGTATCCCTGGGCTATTCCACGCCTGGACTGAGGAGCACTCTGTGCAGCCCCCTCATCTTCGGATACGGGCTCCCCCAGTCCTCGGCCCCCCGGACTTACAATACTCCGCCCTCACCGAGCTACCAACTCACCGACCCGGCCGCCACTCCAGCCGTCGCCTCCCTGCGGAAACTCGCGGCTTCCCGGGGGTCCGAAGAGCTAGTGACAGCAGCATCACTTCCGCCCGGCGGCGCAGCCAATCAACGGCGGGTCACCGGGCCGGGCCGGGCCGGGCCGACCGTGAGCAACCGGCGCTAAGACGCTGCTCCTTTAGGGATCCTTCGCCGGGAGAGGAGCGTGCGGGTGTGGTGGGCTTTCCTCGCGGGCCACACCGTCTCGAGGTCTCGGCCATCTTCAAGAGGGGATTCCCCAGAACCACCGTCTTCTTCATGGTGTTCTCTGGAAAGGGCTTCTCGGCTGCGACCTTTAAAAACACCTCCTTTCTTTTCTCTCTCTGACTGCCATGGTCCCGACTCTCCCTGTAACCTTTCTAGAAAGGCTTCTCCCTCCACTGGGTCTCCTTCCTTCTCGCGATCCCATCTCCTTTCTTCCCAGCGTCCCTGGAGAGTCCACTTCTATCTTAAGGGGTTTCCGTACGCCCTCGTCCCCTCGACGGTGCCAGCTCTGGCCGCCAGAGGGCGCCGTCGGAGGCGGCCGGTGCCACCGCGGCCTCTCCTATCCGGGCTGAGCCTCGCCTCCTCCGCTCGTGCCGCCGGAAGTGGGAGGTGTAGCGCGCGGACCAGCGCTCGACCCCTCCCCCCGAGGCCCGGCCGCCCCCTCCCCCCGCTCCGCCCGCTCAGGTGCGTCCCGACCCTCCCCCCTTCCCTCCCGGGGGCTAGGAACCCGAGGGGTGTGCGGGGCGGGCGCGCGGGCTGGGGGCTGCGACGCCGGGGGTCGGGAGTTGAGGTGGGGGGCGTGGAGGGTGCCTTGAGGATGCGGGCGGAGGTCCTGGCCTAGAAGTGGAACGGGGGCCGGCCACGGGATACTGGGCTGAGGGGAGTGTGAGGAGGGGCTCTGGCCGGAGGCAGCGGCCGGCAAAGCTAGTTGGAGGGCGACCGTGGCCACCCGGCGCTTCTTTCACCCATTGTCCCCTTCGCGTCCGTCCCCCGTTCTCCCCCGAGGACCCAGTGCTCACGCCATCGCTGGTGTCGCTGGTCTCGCTGGTGGTCGCCCCCGGGTTGCGGTGCAGAGGAGATTCCCTTGGTACCTTCGACATTCCATCCCACGCTGCAGCCCGATGTACCGGCCCCCTACTCTTTGGGCTCTCTAGCACGGAGTTGCATATGTGACCGGTGCCCTGTGGTTTCGTTTTACCCGGCACCAAGGATCTCCGGCCTCTGGGCTGTTTCGGGGCAGGATGTTTGTACCCGAGGTAGCAGTAACGGCGATTTGAGGGCCCATTTTTCCTAGGACCTTTGTATAATGGGGGAAACTGAGGCACAGAGAATCCCTGGCTTGTAATTGAAGTGTTGACACAGCTGTCTTCATACTTGCCCTAAGGGCTTTTGAAGGGTCAGGGGTGTACCTGTGATTATATTAAAATTAAGAAGAAAAAATTTATACTAACCCTATGCTACACCTCCCTCCCCCCATGTGTATTTTTTCCCAGAGACTGCGGTGAGTTTGTCCTACAACGTAAAAGATAAGATGACTGTTTGGTCTGAGAAAGTCGTCTATCCCGGTTCCCTTACTTGGGATTGTCCTGTTTTCAGCTCATTTTCATGCTAGCGTAACCTAGATTCTCATACTCTTTTGCACCCTTGTAGTAACTGTGAAGAGTCTGTACTTTACTCAGTCAGTGGTTATCAAACTTTCCCATCGCTGGGGAAGTACTGGCAGAGTAAAAGATAATTTGGGTTGCTCAATGTAATACTGCTTTTCTTTCACACAGGGGACACCTCCCTAAAACTAAAACTTCTCAAGTTAATGGAGAATGCTTTTAATGTAACAGCAATAAAATGATTTAAAAACGTATGATATTTTGATATTAGGCCAAAAAATGCATCTTTTGTAAGTGATATTAGGTAAGGTAGATATGTGAACCATTTGAAAATGTGTCACAAACTCTGGTCTAATGTTTTAAATGACTGCATTTATGCCAAAAGCAAAGAAGGCTGGGCACAGACTCCTGGATGTTTAGATAAATATGGTGATTCCTGAGGATTGATGTCCACTGGGACCAGTTGCATGCACTGGCTCTGTTAATACCCTAGCATAGAATAAATGTTCCTAAATATTTACCCCTGGAGCCCAACTTTGTTTCTTTCCTGGAACAACTAACTGTTATGTGGGCATTCTGAGAGGGAAAGATACATTTGTTTTAAAAACTTGAAACTTGTGGCCTGTAATTTGTTTCTGAATATGCAGAGCATGATGGCTGCGTCTGAGGTGGCTGGTGTGGTGGACAATCCTCCAGAATCCTCTTCCAGTGTATGTGCTTCCAAATCAGATGAAGGTCTCCTAGGTGCTCTAAGGTAATGTGTGGATTCTTGATTGGGAAGAAGTTTTTTGGGTAAAGGGCATTTGAGCTGGGCCTCTTATGGAAGTATAGCTGGTCTTTTCCCTTTTTGGCTTTAGTAGCAGTGCACTGCACTAGATTACGCTTCTTGAAGGTAGGGACTGTCTGATATATGTTTCTGTATGTAACACAGCGTTTGACATTCAGCAGACATGATAAATGTTTGTTGAATAAATAAATTAGAACACGAGGGGTCAGACTCATCTAAAAATGCAAATATTTCCTCTATTCTACATGGATTATATATTTAACTACATGTTTATATATTACACATATGTGTATACACATATACATCTTCTATATAACATATACATAGGTACATGTATATATATACATATGTTTCTATTTGTATAGCTGTATCTATCTATAGATAGATAGCTTTGGTAATATGGTTTACTTCTTCATGTATATCTTTTGTCTTTCTCCTGAGCTCTTGAGGGCAGGAATTATGATTATCCAACTTTGTATCTTACAATGCTTGACACATTGTATGTACAGTGTTGTACTGAATCAACTATATATTCTACCTCAGCTCTTTTCTAGAGTATTTAGGAGCTAATGCAATAGATAATACTGTACTAACAGCTTTATATGTATTAACACATTTAATCCTCCCTACAATCCCAGGAGGTAGGTGCTAATATTATTATTCCCATTTACAGGTGAGGAAACTGAGACACAGAGAGGTTAGTAACTTGCCCAAGGTTACCAAGCTCTGTTGGAGTCAGGGTTTGAACCCAGGCTTGTCTGACAACAGAGTACTTAATAAATATTTGTTTAAATGAAGAGAAGTTTGTTAGTGAATGGGTAATGGGGAAAAATCTTAAGTAAGTCTAATCATAAACTTGGATCTTCAATTTATAAATAAAATCAGCTACATACTACTACCAACTAAGGTTTATTGAATGTTTACTATGTGCCAGGCACTATACTAAGTTCTTAAGATGCATTATCTCACGTAATCCTCACAGTAATTGTATCAAGTAGGTAATAATATTTCTGTTTTACAAATGAAGTTAAGTAATTTGCCCAGAGTTAAACAACTAGTAAATACTAGAGTCAGGATTCACATCTAGGTACTATATATGTCCAAATTTGTAATTAAGTGCCCCTCCCCCAACTCCTCAATTAATTCCCAGCAAGGAATCAGCTTGGAGTATTTATAAAGATTTTCATTTTACAAGATGTTCTCTCAGTTGTTTTATTTTGAGCAGCAAGTGCTACTGAGGAAAGAAAGGCATAGTGACCTGAAGCCTCAGTCATTGCTAGTTTGGGGTTTCTTAGGTAAAGAAATTTAACACAGATTTAGTCATTATTCCTTTGTGAAAAACTTAACAGTTGTGAATGTTGAATGTCATTGTAAATAGGTTTAAAAATCTCCTAAAAACCAATATTTTAAGTCACTGTGATAAACGATAAAACAACTATTGCAGTGTTGTACACATATGTACTTGTCTGGGATAAAATTTCTAGTTAAAGCTTCAATTTTTGATTCAAAATTGTTTGTACTCCAGACAGCTTGAAGTGAAGATGCTCTGGGAAAATGTTGAAGAACCTAAAAAGTGGGTCTCATCAGACATCTGTATGAGTTAGAGTGAAAATTATTTTTGTGAAACATGAGAGTGGAATAAAAATGACATTTCTAAATTAGTATTTTATTTATTAAAATATGCATAACTAACTTAATACATGTAACAAAATGAAATATTCTAACATTAAGCTATTTCATTTGTATTCCTAAAAATTATTCAACTTGGCCCTCAAAAAGTTTTTGAATCTTCGGAGTCACTTATGTGTAGTCATTTACTGTAGACTGTCTCCAGAATCCAGGTTCTTAACCACCAGCTTGTACTCCCTGTATGTGGGATAAAATCACTAGATAGAAACTAAGTTGCTTTTCATTTTGATCATTTGGGGGGCTTATATAGTCTAGTCTTACTCTTTTAAAGATTACATGAAAAGTATTATGTATTTAATCATCTTTAAGATTGGGTGAAGAGAGAAACTTTTTATCTTATGTTTTGGTAGCCCCAAAGACCCTGCACAGAAGCACAAGAACTCGCCTCTGTCAAGTGTAAGTAGCCAAACGATAACCAAGGAGAGTAACAGAAATGTCCATTTGGAACAGCCAGAGCAGAATCCTGGTTCGTCAGCAGGTGATACTTCAGCGGCGCACCAGGCGGTTTTAGGAGAAAACTTGGTAGCCACAGCCCTTTGTCTTTCTGGCAGTGGGTCTCAGTCTGATTTGAAGGACATGGCGGACACCTCAGGAGAGGAGGGGGACACATGCCTCCGGGAGAGCCTCCACCCTGTCACTCGGTCTCTTAAGGCAGGGTGCCATTCAAAGCAACTTGCCTCCGGGAATTGTTCTGAAGAGAAATCCCCACAAGCCTCCATCCTAAAGGAAGGTAGCAGGGACACAGGCTTGGATTTCCGACCTGTAGTACCTCCAGCAAATGGGGTTGAAGGAGTCAGAGTGGATCAGGATGATGATCAGGATAGCCCTTCCCTGAAGCTTTCTCAGAACATTGCTGTACAGGTCAAGTATCAAGTTTCTACTATTAAAATGGAATTTGGGCTTTTTTTTTTTTTTTAGGGTAAGAGACATTTCTTCATGGTTGGTGGAGAACTACTCTTTATTGTTTGTTTTTTGTTTTTTGTTTTTTTTCCTGGCAACTTTCATACCATATCCACTTGGTGCTATATGATGACTTCATTCTGGTGTTCAGTAAATAATAAAGCCAGGAGCCATTGTCTAATTGTGGTGACTAGGAACTTTATGATCTACACATAATCTCTTTCACTGAGTAAATGATGAGTGTAGGTCATTCGCATTCATATTTCCCATCTTTGTCCTTGCAGGAGGAATCTTGTTAATTCTCTGATCTACATCTTAAGAAGTACAATGTATCCTGCCTTGTAATGGCTGGTGTGCTTTGTTGTAGGAGGAAAGATGGGTACCATAGGTTGTAGGGGGCAAAATTCTAATCTCAGACTTGAGGCTGTCTCTCCATCAGTTGTTGGGTTTTTGTTCAGGTTATTTTGTGGGATAAGTGCTCACTGCAGTGTGGGTGTCAGTGTCCATTTGCCAGAACTACAGCGTTCTCTTGCTGTGAAGCCAGTAAGTTAACTACTTAGTTACTTGTGGCATATTTCTAGGTGAAAGTACTAGAGTAATTCTTCCTTTTAAAATGTAACTGAATGGTTCTGAATATATTGTTTCTTTCCTTATAGACTGACTTTAAGACCGCTGATTCAGAGGTAAACACAGATCAAGATATTGAAAAGAATCTGGTAAGTATGTAAACTGTCATTGTTGATATATTAAACCATTAATGCAGAAAATCTAGAGTCATATGATGTCAGTTGAAAAAAGATGTAGGAACCTCCTTTATACAATTCCTGATGGATAGTCAGCTAACTTCTACATGATCACTTCCAGGGATGGGAAGCTTACTGCTCACAAAGCAGCCTGTTGCATTTTTAAAATAGCTTTTATCGTTAGATCTCATTCGGAGGTGAGGACAGAACCGCTAAGCCTTGTTATAATTCTCTCTTGAGCTATGTAGAGTAAATCTAAATCCTCTTTTACTTGTTAGCACTACATATTTTTTTGGAGGGGTAGGGGCACTGACTGAATTCAACAAATATTTATTGAGTTCATGTTATGTGCTAGATATTGTTCCACATACTTGGGACACATCAGAGAACAAAACAAAGGTCCCTGCCTTCACGGAGCTTACAGTCTAGTGTTTATGATCACTTTGCCTGCATGCTGTCTGTGACTCTGGGCAAGTCACAGCACCTCTCTGTGCTTCTGTCCACAGCTCCTCGATGCAGGAAGAAGTAGGCCCAGCCCTGATGTAGGTGACATGCTCGGTGCACTATAGATGCCAGACAAGACACCACACCCCCATTCTACCACCTGTATAGTAGATCGGGCTGGAAGTTGACTTTTAATAATAAAGTACAAGTGAGGAGGACAGAGGGAGTGGAGCTGGGTGGTCTGGTGTGCTGCAGCACCAGGGCATGGGCTGGCTACACCAGCTGCTGCTGCTGCTGCTGCTGTTTGTTGGCTGCCTTGTGGCAAGGTGCTGGGCCTTGTCTTTACTGCCAATGCCATCTCCTCTACCTTCTCCTTGGCTGTGTCAAACAAGGGTTTTGGAAGGGACCTCACCTTGCACCTCAGCCAAGATATATTCAGAACCTTTCATTGTCTTGGTCACATTGCTTTTGAACTGGGTGAGACCAAATTCCTGGACAGGTCTGAAGACACCAAATAAGCTAGAGGAGACTGAGCCTTCCCAGCGGATTTCAGTCCAGCTTCGGTTCTCAGTTCACACAGTAAACATGTCATTCTTCCACTGCCATCAGTTGGGCATGGTTGATGTTCCAGGTGAAGATGGTTATGGTCTGATTCTGTGGTCCACAATAGAATCCTCTAGGATGTACACTGAGTGAGTAGCATTGACAGGAAACAGTCACTTGGCCTAGTGGGACCTCCTGTGGGTCTTGGCAGGACTCTCTGGGACAGGAGCTTTTGGTCAAGGATTATCTCCTGGTACACTAAGTCTTCTGTCAATACGTATTTGCTATAGACATTCGGGTACCACTGCCAGAAGGCAGTGAACACTTGATCCCAGGAACTCTGGAGCACGCTGTGTCCCAGAAAATACTTCAACATCATCCCCAGTCGCGGCAAACTCAGCATCTGCTCAGCATTAGGGCTGTAGGGGCTGGGGCGGGAGGGGGAGGGGCTTGTGTGCAGGTGGTGGCATGCAAAGGCCAGGTTGGGTTTGGCACACACCCACAAGCTTTGCAGCTCAGTCACCACTGTTCAGTGCCCCACCGCCGGCCACTGCCATAAGAAATTGTCCAGTAGCCCTACATAGTTTTAAAGGGTTTGTGGGGTTTTTTTTTGCCTATTCCTCTTAACTCTCAGGTCTGAACCTTTCTCTGTGAAACATTCCCAGGTGTTTTTAACAGTCCTTTTTTTAATTTATATGGTATGTTTCAGTCCTTTCATCATCCTGGTTACCTTTTCTTGAGCACTTACCCAGATATGTACCATCTTATCAGTGTTTCTTTTGAAATGTGATCCTGAGAACTAAATATAATAATCCAGACAGAGAATAATTAATTCATAATACAATGGGACTCTCATTCTCTATCTCTCTTTTAGTTTATTTTGGCAGTCTCAGTCACCTTCAGTCAAACTCCATCAAGTCTTTCTCTCATGTATTATTTAGTTGTGTCTTTCCATTTTATTCCTAGGCAATTAGTTTTAAAAACTTAGAGAGAGAGCCCTGGCCAATGTGGCTCAGTTGATTGGGTGTTGTCTCGCAAAGCAAAAGGTCGCCAGTTCGATTCCTGGTCAGGACCCCTACCTGGGTTGTGGCCTGGTCCCCAGTTGGGGTGTGTGCAAGAGGCAGTTGACTGATGGTTCTCTCAAACATTGATGTTTCTTTCCCTCTCTCCCTCTTGACCCCTTTTTCTAACAATAAACAAAATCTTTTTAAAAAATGGGTGAAGATATAAAAAAACATTAAAAAAACTTAGAAAATTTCACATTTATCTTTATTACATTGGTCCCGTTTATCTATCACTGACATTTTCTGGCAAAAACTTCTACCCCTTCAGTGAATACCTATCTAAAGGTATATTTTTCAAGAGGATGAATAGTGCTGGAAAAGGCATCTGAGGATCAGAAAGAAGTCTTCAGGGTAAGATGTGTTACTTGAATGGAAAAAAGGAAAAGTGCTTGTAGTAACCAGATAAAGTAAATACGTGGAGCATGTTGAAGAAATTTAGAGGCAGATGGAAAGAAATAAGTTATTGGAGTACATTAATCATAGACCAGTAAAAACTTTACAGTAGAGAGTAGCTACTCAGGAGTTTTTAATAACAGGCAGAAAAAAAGATCCTAGAGATGAGAGACCTCATGGAGATATGCTGCATAGAAGAGAACCTCCAGGGAAAGGAGGAGAAAGTCATCTTTTCTTGAGCACTTATACTAATCAGTTTATTTACATTAAGTATTTATTTTTGTGCCATAGGGTTTGGATGACTGTATAACAATTGAAGGGGCCAACTAAAGTTATAAATACACTTCAGTATCAGTCTGAAATGGGTGGAAACTGGCAAGCAATTGGGCCAAAAGAGGCCCAGGGTTGTGTTGTGTTTGGCTGTATTTTTTTGGGTGGTGGCACAACCCACAATCTTTTAAAAAGGCAGTGGAACGAGGCAGGTGTTAAGCTTGGCAGTAGTGCAAGAAACTTGGCTCCTGTTTTATTTGCTTTCCTTTTCATGCATTTATGAGAATTGTGTATTCCCTTATACCTGTGTGTTGTAAATTGACCCTCTGTAAGTTTTAGTGTCTCTTTGAAAGCTAACCGTAGCTTTTCTTGATTTACTGATTTGAGGGAGGCAGAGAGAAATTGTGGTCCTTGCTTCTACTCCTGACTTTATATGAGAGCTTGTTGCTTTGATCAGTCTGAATCCCAAGTTCCCTACACCTCTTAGTGGATCTCTCAGTTTTCAGAGCTAATGATGTAAGAAGTCCTGTTTCTGGATGTATTTTGGTAGGTGACATGTTCTTTGTTTTTGCACATTCTTTTCTTCTTTCTCTTAATGAATGATAAAATGCCTTCTTCCTCTTATTCTCTAGAGCCAGGATTGGCAAACTTTTTTTTTTTTTTTAAGGGTCAAAGAATAAATATCTTAGGCTTTATGGGTTATATGGCCTCTGTTGTAACCATTCCACTTTTCTGTTGTAGGGTGAAAGCAGCCTGTAAGCCATTGACGGGGGCTGTATTCCTATAAAACTTCTATTTACAAAAACAGGCAATGGCTAGATTTGGCCCATAGGCCATAGGTTGCCATCCTCTGCCGTAGAGCAGTTTTGTACAATAGAACTCCCTCTAATGATAGAAATCTTCCCTCTCTGTGCTGTCCAGTATGGTAGCCACTAGTCACATGTAGCTTTTGAGAACTTGGACCATGGCTAGGTGACTGAAATTAATTGGATAAACTAATTAATTTTCTTCGTTTAATTGGTTTAAATTAACATTGCCACATATGGCTAGTAAGCTACAGTATTGGACACTGTAACTATAGAGCTCTGCACAGTGCCTTGAGCAGGCACCTGGTAAATGTTTCTTGCAATTAAGTTGGAGAACTACACTTTTCTTCTATTGTTACCAATAGGATAAAATGATGACAGAGAGAACCCTGTTGAAGGAACGGTACCAGGAGGTCCTGGACAAGCAGAGGCAAGTAGAGAATCAGCTCCAAGTACAATTAAAGCAACTTCAGCAGAGGAGAGAAGAGGAAATGAAGAATCACCAGGTATTCTGTTTATGGTCTAATTGTCAATAATTAAAGCTGTAGTTCCTAATCAAACTTTAATTTTGTTTCCAAATAAATAGAAATAGAAAAGCAGTATTTAACTTTTTAATGGTTATTGTGGGCTTTTAAGGATAAAAATAACCTTTGAGGTCATCTCGTTCAAACTCTGACTTGTCTTTTAGTTAGAGAGAAAAGGATTATTCATTATAGCTTGTTGACATAATTGATAGTCTACCTAGAAAAATCATTTGATTAGATTCTTTTATCATATTATGTTAAAAAGTACTATTCTAGGTAGATTAAACATCTACATATAAAAACTGGAAAAATCTTTCAAATTAGAAGAGAATTTAGGAGAATATCTATAAAACCTCATGTTGTAAGGGATGATTTTAAGCCAGGCAGAAAACCCAGAAGCCATAAAACAATTAATAAATTTAATTACATATAATTCAAAGTTTTTGATACAGCAAATGATACAAAAAACAGTAAAAAAGGTCAATGTTAGGCTGAGAGAAAATATCTGTAGTACATCTGAGGAAGGGTTTAATATCAGTGACACTCTGAGACTCCTGTAAATTTGTGATAAAAGTCAAATAACTAGAGAAAAGCCAGGAAAAGTTATTGTATTAGCTCCCTATTGCTGCTGTTAAAAATTACCATGTATTTAGTGGCTTAAAACAACACAAATTTATCTCACAGTTTTTACAGGTCAGAAGTCCAACATGAGGTCATTGGGTGAAAATCATGGTGTCAATAAGGTCATATTCCTTTCTGAGGGCTTTAGGAGAAGATCTGCTTCTCTGCTTTTCCAGTTTATAGAGGCTGTGTGCCTTCCTTCACTTGAGGCTGCCTTCTCCATCTTCAAAGTCAGAAACATTGCACCTCTGACCATTCTTCCCTAATTACATTTTTCTGGGATCACAACCGGGAAAGATTCTTCATTTTTAAAAACCCATGTTGTGATTAGATAGGGCCACCCAGATAATCGAGGATTACCTTCCCATTTCAAGATTCTTACCTAAGTCACATCTGCAAAGTTTCTTTTCCCATGGAAGGTAACATATTCACAAGTTCCAAGAATTAGAATGTGGACATATTTTGGGCGGAGAACTACTGTAGTCAGTAATTCACAGAAGAGGGAAAGCAAATAGGTAATAAATATATGAAAAGAGGCTCAGCCTCACTGGTATTCATTCATTCACTCAGCAAATATTTTTTTGAGTTCCTATTCCAGGCTCTGAAGATTTGGTGGTAAATGAAACATAGTCTCTGCTTTCATTGACTACTTATTGTAGTTGGAGGAGACAGGCAGTAAAAACAGGAAAGAAGGGAAGTTAGGGAAATGCTCATTATAATTATTAGATACCATTCTTCCTTCTCCCCCAGAGGACTGGCAAAAATGAAATAAGTTGTCAAGTGTGAGGAAAAATGGTTCTTTTCAGACATGGGTAGGAGTATGAATTGTTACAACCTTTTTTGGAAAAGTTACTAGGAATTGTCAGTTAAAATTTAAGATGTACACATACTGTGACCCAGCAATTTCATTGATAAGAATCTATTCTACAGAAATAATAGTTTTTGTATGAAAGTGTAGACATACAGAATGTTTATTACAGTATTGTTTTTAGTTACAAAAAACTGGAATCAACCTGATGGACTCTTAATAGAGAATGGTTAGATAAATTGCATATGTGTGCATTACGTCATATTATACAGCTATTTTTTAGTTAGATCTATATTGACAGTATGTTCACTTCAAGTATAAAGAAAGCAGGATGCAGAATAATAAAATGACCTCATTAAAAAAGAAAAAACCACCAAAATACATAAGTATACATGTGTTTGTGTGAAAATGGTGAAAGATGTGAAAGAATAAAACAATACATTGATTACTTTATGGGTGGATTTGGTGTGAATTAGGGAGTTACTTAACTTTTTGTTACTTCTTATCACATATATACACACATATGTATTTGTTAAATAGGAAGAAAAGAAAAAAATAATAACCTCATACATAATAAAATAGGACTGTAACAAAACAAGACCATATTTATTGAAAGTAACAAACTGCCACCCTGTACAAGAATACCTTTCTCAGCATTCCTGACAGGTTCATTCAGCCTTTATTTGAACACCAATAATGGAGAGCTTATTGCACCACAAGGCAGTAAATTCCATTTTTGAACAGTTAGAAAATCTTTTTTCCTGTTGAATTGAAATCTGCTTTATTTTAACTGTCTTCCTTACATCTAAATACTGGCTTTTGGAGCTACTCATCAACCAGAGTCCTTCAATTCAATTTGTTACTAAAGTCAATGTATTAATTTGTGATAGTTAAAAATAATAACTAATACTACAATAACTAATTTATTTCCTTCTTTATTTGTGTGTGACTGTAATTGTGTGGGATTCAGGAGATATTAAAGGCTATCCAGGATGTAACAATAAAGCGAGAAGAGACAAAGAAGAAGATAGAGAAAGAAAAGAAAGAGTTTTTGCAGAAGGAGCAGGATCTGAAAGCTGAAATTGAGAAACTTTGTGAGAAGGGCAGAAGGTAAATTATGCTATTAAGAATAAAAACCCTCTGTGTATGTGCGTAAGGGGTCAGTCCTCTTTGTATTTCCAGTTTTTTTCTTTCAGTCCAATTTTTATTTCAAAAACAAGTGCACAAATAAAAGTCCTCCAATGATTATGGCTTTTGAAATAATAGCAGCTAATTGTTGGGTCCCAAGTTTGATCAAGATTTTGATATGCATCTTAACATTTATTTTACTTGCTTTAAAACCTGATTTTTTAAAAAGTTTAGGCTATGAGAATACTTTGATTATATTTATGCTATTCAGCACCAAAAGTAAGTTTCAAACAATAACATTGTAAGCTGTTTGGAAAGAATTATTTAGTAGACCTGTATCCTCTTCTGGGTACTGGAGCAAGAGTAAAGTGGACATAGAAGTCAATTATATTTGCAGTTTTTCAAGTTTCTTAATCTGAGCTGTTTGGAAATCAAGATAGCTGTGCATACTGTAATGATTTTATTTAAATTCTACTAAAACACATTTTTATTTATCAAGAAAATCTTGGCTTGCTAATGTGTGAAAGAGCTAAGTGAAAAGTAGCAAGCTCATTTGGCTGAATCATTTTCCAAGTATGAAAGATTATTGTGAAAGGTCAGCATGAAAAAGAATGTTTGGAAGAGGGCCTAAAGACCAATCAGTTGTTCTATTGAGAATCTAGTGAAATTGATTAGAAGATGGATAAGTGGTCCATGATGATTCATATGCCAGCAGTTAAAAAGAGTGTATTAGAAGCAGAACGCTGTACTAGGCTTATTGATCAAGACAGATACCACCACCACCCAACAAGGCCATTGCCTTTACGTTCTATGTGGGACAGATGAATCATGGGAAGGTACATATAAGCAGCTTAGCAGCAGATATCTTAATGAGCAGAAATTGGGAGGTAAGTTTTTTGTAAGCTCCATGAAAGATTTCCTTTTGATGTGTGCTCCATACACTCTACATATCTCTATCTTTGTTACCATCTGTAATTGGATAGCTACAATTGGTGATTGATACTAACAATTTTCTTGTAGTCTTGAAGATCTAATTGGGTTTTTCTTATGTATGCCATGCTTTCTGTCATGCTCTCTGTTAACTTTGGGGTTCATTTTTCCAGAAGTAGGAAAAGAAGTCTTCTTTGCAGATCTTTGTTCTAGCAGTGGTATAAGTTTTTGTTTAACATTTCATTTACTATAGGAACTGTGGACACAAAATTGCGGTCATTGTATTAGTATGCTCAGGCTGCTGTAACAGAGTACTGTAGACTGGGTGGCTTAAACGACAGAATTTTACTTTCTCACATTTCCAGAGGCTTGAAGTCCAACATCAAGTTGCTGGCAGGCTTGGTTTCTAGTAAGACCTCTCTGCTTGGCTTGCAGCCACAGCTTCCTTCATGTTGTGTCCTCACATGGCCTTTCCTCTATGCATGCACACTTCTGGGTGTTTCTCTTCTTCCTATAAGGACACCTATCTTATTGGATTAGAGCCCCAGCCTAATGACACCATTTAATTTTAATTACCTCCTTAAACACCCTGTCTCCAAATGTAGTCACATTGTGAGTTAAAAGCTTTAACATATGAATTAGGGGGGCAGGCACAATTCAGTCCATGATGGACATATTTACTATTCATAGCTCTTTCATTCACTCAGCCAGCCTTTATTGAATATCTGCTATGAGCCAGACAGTATGGATCTGGAGAATAAAAAGTCCTCAAGGAGATTATTCTTTAATAGGGAAAAATAGGTAAATAAATAGGTAATTATAAAATAGCATAATGATACCATGATAGTGGTGGTATGAAAACATTTAGAAGAAGCATGTAACCCAGACTGGGTGGGGGCAGTCAGAGAGGACTTCCCAGATGAAATGACTCCAAAATTGAGTCCTAAAAGATAAGGGGAAACAAGACCACCAAGTGCAATATATCACCGTGGTTTGATCCTGGGTTAAATAAACTATAAAGGACATTTTGGAATAATTAGGAGTATTTGAATATAGACTACATATTAGGTAATACTGTCAAATTCTAAATATTTTTATGTGATTATGGTATTTGTGATTGTGTAGAAGGTTCTTGCTAAAGTTTAATGGGTTAAATTTTGTGATGTCTTGACTTTTAGGTGGTTCCGGGAGAGGTAAAGTAAATGTAGCAAAAAAGTATAACAATAGATGAATCTAGATAGGGGCATATATATTCATTGTACTATTCTTTTTTAAAATTTTTATCGTTATTTTATTATAGTCCCAATTTTTCCCCTCCCTCCCATTTGCCCTCCTCTGCCCAGCACCACCCCCTCGCCCCGCCCTGCTCCCAGTTGATCCCCACACTGTTGTCCCTGTCCATGGGACACTCATACATGTTCTTTGACTAGTTCCTTCCCCTTCTTTCCACCCTTATCCCCCTCCCCCTCCTTCATTGTACTATTGTATTAACTTTTCTGTTGGTTTGAAATTTTCAAAGAAAAAGTTGCAGTGGTGGGAATTAGCCAGGCAAAGAACAGGGAGAAAGACAATGCAGGCACAGCTCCACAGGGAGAATAACAACTGAGATGTGAGGTGGAGAGGAATGAGGCTAGCAGAGCAGTCAGAAACCAGATCACAAGAGACTCACTGCATTAGGGGCTTCGGGTTTTTTGCCTGATAGTGAGAGATACTGAAGGATTTTAAGGAAGGAGGGGTAACAAAGGATGAGACTTACATTTTAGATTGATGTCTTTGGCAGTCGGAAAATAGATTTGGGGTAGTATAGAGGACCCTTTATGAGACTGATCTGTCAAGACCTAGGTTAGAATAATGGTGGCCAAAACTAGAATGGTCAGTGGGGTGGCAAGATGTGAACATGTTTGTAAGATACTGGGAGCAGAACCAGTAGGTGGACAGGGAAAAGTTAAAGTAGTTCCCATATTCCTGGCTTGGAAAATGGGGTTCTTTTATAAGATGTCTTATCCGTTTTCCTCATCTTACAAGTTTCAACTTAAATTCTTCCTCTGTTGTGAAATCTTCCTTACATTTTTCCCTGAATTAATTTCTTTTTTCCTCAGAACATGTATATAGCTCTCTGCTCCTTTAACACTTATTTTTATATTATACCCTAAATTTTTTCCATCTGTGTATGTCTTGACTGGCCATTTATATTGTAAAGGCTAGGCACTCTCCATATAGAGGGTCTGGTACAAATAATGCCCCTTTTTTTATTACAAAATCTTTTATTAGAAAATTATAAGCATGTAATTCTGTAACATAATATCACACTCAGGCATACCATATGGGATTTTAGGTGAAATGTTCAAATTTAAACAATAAATTATTACACCCGTATTATTTTTTAAGTATATTTTATTGATTATACCATTATAGTTGTCCCTATTTTTTCTCCCCTTTGTTGCCCTGTGCTCTGCAGCCTCCCTCCCACCAGCATCTCCCCCCTTAGTTCATGCCTATGGGTCACACATATAAGTTCTTTGGCTTCTCCATGCTAATCTTAACTTCCTCCTGTCTATTTTGTAGCTACCAGTTATGCTTATTTCCTGTAACCTTTCCCACCTTTTCCCACCTCTCCTTCCCCACTGATAACCCTCCATGTGATCCCCATTTCTGTGATTCTGTTTCTGTTCTAGTAGTTTGCTTAGTTTGTTTTTATTTTTCTTTCTTAGGTTCAGTCATTGATAGTTGTGAGTTTGTTGCCATTTTACTGTTCACGGTTTTGATCATCTTTTTCTTAGTTAAGTCCCTTTAACATTCATATAATAAGGGCTTGGTAATGATGAACTCCTTTAACTTGATATTATCTGGGAAGCACTTTATCTGCCCTTCCATTCTAAAGGATAGCTTTGCTGGATAGAGTAATCTTGGATGTAGGTCCTTGACTTTCATGAATTTGAATACTTCTTTCCAGCCCCTTCCTGCCTGTAAGATTTCTTTTGAGAAATCAACTGCAAATCTTATGGGAACTCCTTTGTAGGTAATTGTCCCCTTTTCTCTTGTTGTTTTTAAGATTCTTTCCTTTAATCTTGGGTAATGTAATTATGATGTGTCTCGGTGTGTTCCTTCTTGGGTCCAATTTCTTTGGGACTCTCATGAGCTTCCTGGACGTCCTGGAAGTCTATTTCCTTTGCCAGGTTGGGGAACTTCTCTTTCATTATTTTTTCAAATAACTTTTCAATTTCTTGCTCTTCCCCTTCTCCTCTGGCACCCCTATGATTCAAATATTGGAACATTTCAAATTGTCTGAGAAGTGCCTAAACCTTTCCTCATTTTTCTGAATTCTGTTTCTTCATTCTGTTCCAGTTGAATGTTTATTTCTTCCTTCTGTTCCAAATCATTGATTTTAGTCCCAGTTTCCTTCCCTTCACTGTTTGTTACCTGTATATTTTCTTTATTTCACTTTGCATAGCCTTCACGTCTTCCTTTATTTTGGGTCTCTACTCAGTCATTTCTGTGAGCATCCTGATTACCAGTGTTTTGAACTCTGCCCCTGATAAGTTGGCTATCTCCGCATCACTTAGTTCTTTTTCTGGAGTTTCGATCTGTTCTTTAATTTGGGCCATATTCTTTGTCTCAGTGCAGCTTTTATGTAGGAAAGGGCAGAGTGTTAGATCTATTTCCCAGGGCGGGGCAACCCATTTGGCTGCGTTTTGGCACTGTACGTGGGGGAGGGGTCAAATAGGGAACAGGGCCGCTTGCTTGGCTCTCGCCCTACTTTCAGTCATTTCCTGTGCTACCCACAATCAAAGTGGGCCTTTCTGGTCCTGATTCCCAGGTGGGTGGTTTTGTGTAAATTCTAGGACCCTGTGGGTCTCTCCAACAAACTCTGCTGTGAGGCTGCGAGTTTCTACCACTGCCGCAACCCCCACAGATTTTTGCAGCCAGTTTTGAAGCTTTAGTTTCCCACACTGGAACCCTGGGTTACGCAGTCTGTCTTGCACCTCTGTTGTTCCTCCTGGCTAATCCGCATGTGAATGTGGGACCACCTGGTCTGCCACCTGCCTCCTCTC